AGGAGATCTGCATGGAGGAATGGGCCAAAATACCAGCAACAGTGTGTGAAAACCTTGTGAAGACTTACAGAAAACGTTTGATCTCTGTCATTGCCAACAAAGGGTATATAACAAAGTATTGAGATTAACTTTTGTTATTGACCAAATACTTATTTTCCACCATAATTTGCAAATAAATTCTTTAAAAATCAGACAATGTGATTTTCTTTTCTCATTTTGTCTCTCATAGTTGAGGTATACCTAGGATGAAAATTACAGGCCTCTCTCATATTTTTAAGTGGGAGAACTTGCACAATTGGTGGCTGACTAAATACTTTTTTGCCCCACTGTATGTCTGTTTGACACATTCAATTGGTACATCGGTGTGTTTTCAATCTTTTGACCTTTGAGTATTAAATATTAGAGCTTTAATAACTTAGGCTTTGCCCCACAAACAAATACTGGAAAGGTACACCCTTCCTAAAGCCAGACTGCATGCTAATGTTCCTCTGTGTCTGCCAACTTAACCACTGAAAAAGTCTATTAAGGATTATAATATACAATTCAATTAATGCAAATTTAATTAATCTGAAAAGTTTCCAAGGTCAAGACTTTCCCTCTGTAACATTAATTACTGTTTAATAATTGTTTTCAATTAGTCGCTTCATTCATTGATGGTCATTTGTTTGTGTTCCTTCTTCCTCACTCTCACTGTTGAGAGCTGGGATACTAATTCATGTCAACATTTGGTGTACTGGCTTTTTTGTGTAAGTTGATGTAAAAACAAAAACACATTTTGGGTCAATTCATCTAAATGTAAACATCTTAAAAACCTGAACTTATTCTAGACCTCAACCCGTTCTGACTCAAGCCTCAAGCAGCCCCCTGAAGAGCAGAGGACGGCCCGGCTCTCCTCACCAGGTTGGCCAGCGCTCCCTGGATCAGCTTCTTGTTCTCCTCCGTCTCTTTCTGCCTTTGCTGGACAGCTGCCAGCCTCCTGATGTTGGCCTTCCTCTGGCGCTCCTCTTCCTCCTTAGCTCCTAACGGGACCCGGAGAGGAGCCTGCTTCTCCTCCTCCTCCTCTTCCTCGCTGGAGGAGGACTCACTGTGAGGAGCAGGGGGAGGTGCTGCTTTCCCTGCATCTTTAGCAGGAAGGATCTCGTCCTCGTCTTCTTCTTCAGAGGAGCTGGAGGATGAAGCTGCTGCAGCTTTAGATGTAAGAACAGTCTGATTTGCCTTTGGCACCTCCTCTTCCTCTTCATCCTCATCGCTGCTAGAGGAGGACTCTTTCTGAGCTTTTTTAGCCATGGTTTTGAACACCTTCCCCTTGTTCTCCTGTTCCTCCTGTTCCTCCTCATCACTGCTGGAGGAGGAAACTGATTCAGCTTTCTCAGTCATGTTCTTCACCACTTCCTCCTTTTTCTTCGGTTTTTCTTCCTCATCCTCCTCATCCTCACTGCTCTCGGTTTCTGTGTGTTTCTGTCCATTCATTTTGCTGCTAGTTGCTTTGTGGTCCATCTTTAGTTTTTTTAACTCAGTTCCTTCTCCCTCCTCTTCTGTTTCCGACCCCTCGTTCAGCGCCTTCGTCCCCTTGAAGGCCGGCAGCAGCTGGGTTGTAGGGTCTGCTTTCCTTTTCTTTTTCTTCTTTGGCTGCTGCTCCTCCTCCTCGCTGCTGTCGTCCTCCATGAGGGCGGCGAGGATCTCCTCCGGCGTGGTGCCCTTCTTTGGGGGCTTAGTTTCTTGTTCAGAGACGCTGAGGCTGCTGGGAGTTGTAGTCTCAGAAGTATCCTGGAATTCTTCAGCTAGCTTCTGCAGATCAGCCAGGGAGATCTCCAGACGAGTGACGTTAGAGAACATGGCTTCATAATCAGAATCTGAACTGGAATCAGCGGATTCACAGTCCTCCTCCTCCTCCTCCTCCTCCTCCTCCTCCTCATCATCACTTTCTGATTCTGAGGAAGATGGTTTTACAACAGGGAGGACTTTCATCTTGTTACTTTGTTTCTGAGAACTTAATTTCCCAGCATCCCTTCTCTTCTGTGTGGAGGGTTCTTCAGCATCTGTTGAATCTCCCTCTTCAGCTTTACTTTTCTTCTTGGTCTTTCTCTTCCTGTCTGTGTTGCTCCCAGAGATGTTTCCTGCAGTGAGGGTCGGTCTCTCCTGGGGAGGAGGAGAAGAAGAACGAGGAGGAGGTTTCCTGGAGGCCAACAGTTCATCTGTGTCTGCAGAGTCGTAGTCATTCTCCTCTTCATCACCTCCTGAAATCACAAAAAGAAGCATCTTCAATAATAATAAAAAAGAAAGGATTTCTTATTTATTTATCAATTTAATTCATTCTCCCATTTTCATTCCTTTATATATAATTTCTATAAATCAGATAATATTTTAACTTTTTATCAAAGATATACTTGCAGTGTTTTCATTACATAGTTAGAGCACAGCAAGTTATTTTTCCTACTGTGAAATGTCCTGCTCAGTATATATTATGGTCACAATTTCTTTGATAAATAAAAAACTATAAATATTGGTATAAGATTATTTTAGAAGCTCCTTTAAAGACAAATGCAAAAAAGATTTATAATTCTCAAAAAATGGACTTAATGTTTGAAACACGGCTGTTACCTTTCTGCTGCTGACGAGCACGGCCCGGCGTCACCAAATAATCCAGTCCAACCACTTCGAGCTTATCCTCGTCCTCTTCCTGCTGTAGTGCATTATGGGAGGAGCTCTGGACTGCCACTATTCTGTGGATCTCGTCGTCTGAATCGATGTCACTGAGAGTAAGAGATGGCCCCTTCATCTGAGCTGGTCTGACTGTGCTGGGGGGTTTATGCCCGTTGGTGACCTGAGGAGCCTCTGTGAGAGCGGCAGAGTCAACGCTCTGCTTCAGTCTGACAGGGAAACAAGAGAGGAGACAGGGTGATGATGATAGGGGTAAAATAACACTTGGATGAAGTACATCGTAATACTCAAATACTCAATATATTCATAGGTCTACACTTCCAGGAACTTTATATTGTTAATATCAACAGAGTGATCTTGACTTCAGTTGACCTGAAATAGTTCTAGACTCTATTTCCCACATGATTCTGTTTTGTTCCCACCTGGCACTGATTGCCTAATATGTTGATGTTTGCAGATAGCTTAAAAATAGGGCTTTATTATTTATGGGGTTCTATAATTGTATAAAACATTTTGGATAATGAGAATCATAGGAGCCACCTAAAACAAAATATAAAATAAATCAGTGTGAGCAATTGTTAATTCAACAAACCAGCAGGAACTGAGAATCCCAGAAAATCAAAAGCCAGCTATAAAGTTTGGGGAATTGAGTACGAACTTATTAGAATTTAAGAAAAGAAAGAAAGATTTGGAAATCCAAGAAACTGTTGGAAATCTTTGAGAATCCTGAAGAGGACTTTGAAATGTGTATTACCCGATACCAGCAGGTGTCAGAAATGAGAAGAAACCTTAAGAAACATTTGGGAGTCCAATGAACATGGTTGCGACTTTGAGAATCCTGAAAATAACTTGGAGAATATGTAATGTCAGGAATTAGCTGAGAAGCCCAGAAACCATTGAACGATTTGGGGAATTTGAGAATCCAGCAGGACCTTAAAAGAGATTCCAGGAAGCGGGCGAAATTCCAGAGAATTGGACTGAAAACATCTGGGAATCACAGAAACAAACTGAAACGTTCAGGAGTTCTAAGAATAACATGTGGACCTCTTGGATGAGTGGAAAGCCTCCCATGGTTACCTGGGTTTGCCCTCAGCTTTCAGTGAGTTGACCGCGTCTGTCCGGCTCATCTTGCGTTTCGGCGGCTCGTATGCGGGAAACTCTCCGCGCCTCTTCTTGCTGATGTCGTCATCGCCCCCCTGCAGCTCCCAGGTCAGCTGACTCACCGGGGTGGGCAGGTCTGAGGCGGACTGGTCTGCGGAGGGGCGGTCCAGCTTGCGGATGTTGTGGCTGTATTTGGACGGGTCGTACTTCAGGGTTCGAGCTCGGCTGCCTTTCTGACACTTGAGCTGCAGCACAGGCAGCACACGTCCAAATTTACTCACCACCCAGTCCTGAAACCAGAGAGCACATGAAGACAATCATCACCTTTATTCTTATATCACTTTCTCCATCCAGCCTATTTTCACAGCAATAATTAAATAGCAGACATTAACAGCATGTCTTCTTATTTGATTACTAATGAATCTTAAGCTACTATGAATACAACCAAACAGTAACAGCAGATATTTCCCATTTCTCATCCTTCCTGTTGCTTTTGGGCTATCATGGGAGACACTACAGGTGAATAGATTGGTCATTTAACAGTTGATTTTTGGTAATTACTTATATGTTACAAGTTTTCAAAAATGGTATGTAACAATATGCAAATGAGGAATTATCTTATTGTAACTTTTAGTAATTTTGGAAAACTATACAGGTTCAAGTAGACACATTTTACGAAATTAAACACCTACATATTAGTAGTATAGTAAGTATTTTGGATTTTTTTTACAAGACAAGAGTGTATAAAAGACACATGTCATGCAACTACTGCCTGAAAAACAATGTTTTTGCCTGGATTTTCTTGCCTTAGATGTCAATGACTTTAATTAAAACAGCTAAACCAGTTAAGGAAAATATTAAATTGGTTAGAGTTGTGGGCAAGAAAGGACTTTTTTTACACGACCAGCTGTTATTAGTTATTTTTTGGCAGTCAAACCACCAAAAATAAAGCTGTAAATGAGTGTACCTCGTGTCCTGGTACTTCTGTCCCCGGCACCGCTGCCTTCATGGTAAAGTTTTCCACGCCGGCTTTGCTCAGGGAGTCCAGCATCTTCTGCTTCTGGTCCTCTGCTGCAGGCGGCAGGAGGCGCTGCTGCTCTGCCGTCTGCCGCTCCTCAGCCAGTCTAAATATACAAATATTACAAATGAATGTTCAACTTGATGGTTGAATATGTCAACTTCATGCTGCCCCATAGTGATTGAGTTAATGTTAGACTGAGAAGACTTTTATGATGAGGTGAAGGTGAATGTACCTGTGCAGGAAACTCTCCTTAGCCGTTTCTATCTGCAGAGTTCCTCCTTTCCATTTGGATTTGTTCAGCACCGTCATACCTGCAGAGCAAACAGACTGATCTCAACTGATGATACAACACAAGCTCTGACGTCAGGTATGGTAAACACAGGGTTAAACACACTACAATAAATCAACATTTTAAAATAATTTTCCAGAACCAGTATTGTGCAGCCATTTATCTGATTATTTTTTAGTTTGTAGAAACTGAACATTATCTATGAAGAGTATTCTATCTACCCACACTGAAAGTATTTGTTCCTGTTTTCATTCAAATAAGGAGGAATGACACCAAATGTGCAGATGGCTCAGTTCACTTACATTTCTTTAGGTCAGCGTCTGTAATGTTGATGTTAATATAGCTGAAGGTTTTGTAAGGAACACCTGCAACAAGAGTCAGAACACATTCAGGTTAAAAATAATACAAATTAAAATAATTTATAGCAATAACCAGAATAGTAAAGTGTTTTTCAAACGATAATAAGAGTCATTCTTACAATATAATCGACTATAAAATGTGAAAATACCTATAAGAGCTTCCCTAAATGCAACTAACAGATTTTTTTGTAAATATCACAAAATAATGACTGACAAGGGTGGATACTAGATTGTGTGCAACATAAAATACAGCATGATAGTGAGCAGAATTAAATGTAATTTAAATATCTAACTGTAATTATAACGTCTGAGCGTCCAACCATGAATTTGTCTCCTCACCTTCGTCGTCCTTCCTGGTCCGGAGCTCCACATCCTCCACTTGTCCAAATTTTCCAAACCGATCCTTGAGATCCTTCTGAGTGATTGTGTGGCTCAACCCACCAACGTAAAGCCGCTGCATCTCTCTGTATCCACGACAACACTGTCACTGCATAAACAACAAACACCAGCAGTCAGTCCTCTGTTCAGTAGCTCATCAATACAACATGCATGGGTGCAATTTAATGTAACATAAAATGCCAAAAATATTTTTAAAGGTCAATAACAGGTGAATCAACCAGAAATGTACTCAATGACAGTTTTGAGTATAGATTAATTGGCATTTCTAACTTTTTCATTTCACTTTATGCACTCAACTCTGGAAATATGCACCTTTTTGGTTATACAATAGTGAAAGCTGTACATTATACATTTCTGGGTCAATATTTTTTTAACATTCAATCCTTTTTTGGGGAGCTACATGTTTAAGAAGTAAGTTAAGTTGAAAACCTGGAATAAAGTGAACCTTTGTATTCACTTCATTGGAGCCTACCCTAGAACTTAGTGCTTTTATCCTTTTAACGCTGATTATGTTTTATTTGTAGACTTTATTCTTCGTATTCATTCGGTTTTTAAGTCAACTGTATTGGAACCATGCTGCATGGTGACTCAGCCCTTTAAATAAAACAATGGATTGATTAAACAGTAACAGTTACAGTAAGCAGTGCAAGTATAAGTATAACATACAAAGAGAGGTTTTAAGCATAAACATGTTAAAAGTAGACATTACATACAGAAACAAACTGATGAATGTATGATATTAAACGTGCATAGACTAAAGATGTCACATGTACAGTATAAACAGTGGTATACCATGAATACGCTTTAGGTCAGTACATACAGTTTCGATAGACGTTTTTTAAACAATGTGTTTAAGAAAATATAGTGCAATTTGCAGGCGAGTGTGAGCCAGCAGCTAGTAAGACAGAGACAGCCCTGTGTAAAAAAACTAAAGTTTTAAATCTTAGGAGGAACCAAGACAGCGGCACACAGTCTAAATAAACCACCTTATCTAAATAAATTCACCAATAACTGAGCCGAAGATTCTAGATCAAACCACTGGTTTAAATTATATCGACAGAAAAACCAACAAATGTTTACCTCACATGTATCCAGCTGGTGTTACCGGTAAATCTGTCCGGAGTTGCACTCCTGCAGTCTTTCCTTTCCGCGCTTGTTCCTTTCCGCAGAAGCGAAACGTTCCGCCGTGTGAGATACAACAACCGCTCTAGAAAAAAAGAAAATAAACGCAGAAAGGGATACCGGTAAGTTAATAACTAAAATGCTTTATTTATCAGTGGTAATCATATCGAAATATTTTTTTATCTTGATTAATTAGCTTAAAAAATGTTGTAATCATTCAGGATTACCAACAGCTGACAGATACAGCTTTGATGTAAAGGGGAACTTCTTATTTTCCAGCTTGAACAACTTTTTATTTAGTGCATATTAACAATAATACATAGCTAATGCAGTTTTAAAATACAGATCTTTACATTAAAAATGATCAGCTCTTGAATCTCTAGATAGGCAAACTGTGTGACGCTTTCTCACAGAAATAGTTTCTCCCCCCTGCTCTAGGGGGAAAGTGGTAAGGTCCGAGGGCGCGAGTCTCCAAATTGTTTTGGTTGTCAGAAAGAAGAGTGAGGAAAAGAGGGTTAAATACACTTAAATTCACTTTTATTTAATTCACATTATAAAGAAGACCAATACGGTAAGTTGACTTTAAACTTGACAGTTTGACTTTATCTAGTGTCTTTTTGAAGCCTTCGTAAGTTTAGCTAGCTAGAATGCTCTAAAGTTACTGTAGTGAATAATACAACATAAACGTTAACCCCTTCACAGTGAATTTCTTTTATAAATTAAATATGTTCAGCAAGCTTTTGAGAGGAGGAGAAATGCATTCATAACTAATGTGGGGAAAAACAGCCTGTTTAATTCTAAATTTAACTAGGTATAGACAAGTCGTAATGTAAGGTTAATGACATTACATTAAAACAAGTTTTACTTTTCTGTAACGCCACTTGTACCTATTTTGCATAATGGTTACTCAAGGTACATTATGCTAATACTTTTTGACTGAAGTAAAAACACAGGTATTTTATTTGTTAGAGTATTTAATCCTTTGATATATGCCTTTTTTTAAGCAAGTAAAATAACTTACCACCTTGTACGATTTACATTTTAATGCAGATTGATCTATTTTTTTACGATATCCTTTTCACTCAAATTGTTTTATCTTCATGTAATCTTTTTTCTGTATTTTTTTCAGCACATAATTTGTTTTTCTCCCGCATAAAGTACAATACTAATGTCATTTGGTGACAGTGGTCTTATTTGCCATTTCGATTGTATTGTATATATTGGTCTAACTTCAGCCAGCGAAAGTTCTAAACGATTTGTATTTATTCAGTCTGTGTTTGTCCTTCAGGATGATGGAGAAGATGAGCGAGGAGAACATTGAGGAGGTGCGTGTGCTGGAAGCCCAGATCGAGCAGCTCCAGGCTGAAGTTGAAGACTTGCAGCAGCAACAGCAGGACAACCACAAGGACATATCGTTCAACTTCAGGGGACATATGCAGGATGCAATGTGAGTTTCATTTGATTTTAAAAGTTTAAATCTCTCTCACAGTCGTTTTCACTTTTCAAACTGTAATATTTGTACACATACAAGTATACCTAGGTGCTGCAGAAGCATCAAATTAAGTAGAACATGTTCAATAAGTGCTCAACCATCATGACAGTAAATTAATGGCCTGTCACCTGTCCCAACAGGTCGTATATCTGTGGACAGAAACACGGAGCAGAGAAAGAGAAGGTGCTGTCCAGGCTGAAGGAGGAGGTGGAGGAGATGGAGGAGGATCTGAAGCTGCAGACACGGATGAATGGCATCAGTCTGAAAAGCTGCACCAAGACTCTGAAAAAAAGTATGAGCACCACGCTGTCTACACAATAGCCTTTTATAGATTTAGTGATTTAAAGGTGGGGTATGTCATTTTGGAGAAACCAGCTCGAGCACGCTAGAATTTGAAAGTACACAACCGGTAAAAATCTGCCACTTCCTTAAAGAGCCCCTCTTCCAACACACACAAATGCACACATTACCAATGAGGGCACGAGATAAGTTTGTGCACAGATGGAAGGCTGACAGGCAGGTAGGCCATCCAGTTATTTTAGCCGGGACGGCTAAAATGATTGTTTGTGCTTTTTACAGTACCACGGCTTCCAGAGATGACATTTTTAAATGTATTTATTGTCAAAGCATTTAATGTATTCATTGCTATCGGGATGTTAAGAGCATTCCATGGAATATAACAAAAAGTGTGAATTACCTACCCTAGTACCTTTAATGTCCCGGTAA